ACAGCTACGTTACCCTGAGCCATACGAATGGTTTATGGGTGAGGGTGGAGATGGGGTGCCAGGGGACAGGGATGTGTTGAAGGTCAAGTGTGTCCATGTGATGATGTCTGAGGGGCCATTGGCCTTGTGGGTTAGGAGCACAGATTTGAGACATTGGCTTGAAGGTGACTGTGAGGTTCATTGGAGATGAGTGTGTAAATCCAGGGAAGCCATTTCTGGGGTGGAAAGAAGCAAAGGAGACTTTGGAGGAGACTGAGAAAATGGGTGGACCTAGAGAAAATGATGTGAAAAGCAGAAGTTTAAGGAAAGAGTAGTGAGTGACCAGTGCTGAAAGCCACAAAGGGCAACTGAGAGGAGGACTGAAGATGGTACTTTGTTTTTTGGCATTTAGAAGTCCAGGGGTTCAGGGTGTGGTGGTGAAGGCCTGTAATCCCAGCTACTTGGGAGTCTGAAGTAGGAAGGGTCAAAAGTTTGAGGCCAGCCTCAGTGATTTAGCAAAACCCTATCTCAAAATAAAAAAATAAAAAGGACTGAGGATGTGGCCCAGTGGTAAAATGCCCCCTGGGTCCAGTCCATAGTAGCACCCCGACCCCACTCATGCCCAGAGTGACTTAGACAAAGCACTTCTCCTGGTATCATGGGAGCACCATGATGGGCTGGCATGGGGTGAGGAGAATACAGGAGAAGAGCTGGTGCAGACTCCTAGAAACTGACTGAGGAGGGAAGAAGAGGAGGAGACTCAAGCTCAAGGAGAGAAGCCAGCCACAATGGCAGCTCAGCAGAGGAGCTGTGGTGGTCCCAGACTGTGGTGGGCACCAGATCGGAGTAACCAGGGGTGACCATGCAGGTTGTCAGGTTGTTTATTTGTCGATACCTGATACTCTCTGATACCACGGTGATGGTGTCCTCTCTTTAATTGCATCTTCTAGTTATAGAATAAAAAGTCTCTCAATCACTTAAAACCCAGTTAGACATATGGGATCAGAGTAACTTTGGGTGAGGAATCAAGTTTGAAATCCAAAGAGCTCTGACAATGAGCTAGTACAGGGGAACAAGTTGTGGTTAGGGAAACTCCAGGACCTGAGATGGAGTCTACCTGGACCCTTCTTGGGGCCTCCATGTGGATCTAGCCCCCTTCGATGGTCTGAATGTTTTTTTTTTGTTCCCTCAAAATCCCCAATATGATAGTGTTAAGAGGTGGGGCCTTTGAGAAGGTGCCCTTTCTGGGCACCTGGTCCAGAATAATGTTTTAAATGTGTAAAAGTAAGTAAGATTATAAAGGAAATAAATTATATTGAAATACAGTTATAAAACTATATATTAAAGCCGGGTATGGAGGTACACATCTGTAATCTCAGCAACTCGGGAGGATGGCAGGAGGATGGCAAGTTCAAGGTCAGCCTGGACAACTCAGCAAGACCCTGTCTCAAAATAAACAACAACAACAAAAGGGCTGGGGGTGCAGCTCAGTGGTAAAGCACCTATATATTTTTATAAAGCATATTTGCAATATGGTAATATTTACGCTTCTTTGTTAATGCAGCAAGTAACCCAGTCTAAGAGCTCTCTAGTTATGATTTCAGTGTAGTGATGAGCTGAAATGATATTTGGAGCTATCTGCAGCAATAGCAACATGATACTAACACCTGTATTTTTCTTGGTGAGGAAGTCGGTTACTGCTAATCATTCTGTGACTTCTAGCCTACAGTTAAAATAGAAGAAAACATTAAAATTCAGTTAGGAGTTGGTGATGATAGGTGTGCCATTTTCCTCTCCAAACAAGTTCATGGATCTCCTGAATCCATGAACTTGTTGGGGGAGTTTACTGAGGCCCCAGTAAAGAACCCCTGGTCTGAATGCTTGGGTTTCTTTTGTTCTATTATTATTATTATTATTATTCATATTTTCTGAAATGAGTCACAGCAAACTCTCATGTAATAGTTAGCAAGAAACCAATAATAAAGACATTTTATCCAGCATGGTGATGCACACCTGTAATCCCAGCGGCTTGGGAGGCTGAGGCAGGAGGATTGCGAGTTCAAAGCCAGCCTCAGCAACTTAGCGAGGCACTTAGCAACTCAGTGAGACCTTGTCTCTAAAGAAAATATAAAATAGGGCTGGGGATGTGGCTCAGGGGTTGAGCACCACTGGGTTCAATCTCAGTACCAAAAAAAAAAAAAAAAAAAAGAGGGAGCACATGTTAACACACGTGATTAACCATCAACACAAGATGCCACACACTGAGGCTGGAGCAGCCAGGCAACTGGAAAGGGACTTCCTTTGTAGTTCACAGAACAATGACCTCAAGAGACTCTTAGGGGACTCCATCAGGGCTCAGGGATGACTTGGGTGTGGACCAGGGCCCTATGAGAGTAGCCCTTGCTACACACACACACACACACACACACACTACCCTGGAAAATGGCAACTGAAAATGGAGGAACTGGGGCCTAGCCCAAGGTATAAGAAGTAGACCCCCACATAGCTTTTTCAAAGAAATACTCAACCACAGGTTTGTTCGCTGCCCACCTGCCTGCATTCTCTCTGCAGTTGTGTAGGAATCTGGGAGAGGCTTTCTGACACATCTCCACTCTCTTCCTACCTTCATAAGGGCATCAAATGCATTTTTAGCACTTCTCACCGTTGTCCCCACAGCCCCCCCTCTCTCCCCTTCTCAATTCACTTCACCACTGAATTCCTGCCTTTGCCTCCTTGGGCTCCTGCCTGCTTAGGCCCTCAGCCTCCTTTCCTGCACTATTTCCATCAAAAAGTAACCCAGATCTTATCAAGCAGACTGTTGAACCCACCTGCACACAGGAACAGGAGACCTCTAAGCTGTAGAGAGAAATTAGACCCAGTACCCACGGGCTCCAGGTCTGGAAGTGTGGAAGTCTCTCGACGAACCCTTGGTTGAGCTACTGCATGAAGAACCAGTGCCTCTTCTCTGGAAAGCTCCCCAGAGTCTCTTCTGGGATTCCCACCAGGCCACCAGCTCTCCCTCACCCTACTGGCTTTTCTCAAGCACTGGCATTCAAGAGAAAGAAAAAAGGTGTCAATCCATGTTATTGTTTTATTTGGCAACAGTGTTGCTTGCTACAACTTCTTCTTTTCTCCTTCTCCTCCTTCTTCTTCTTTTTTTTTTTTTTTTTTGGTATCAGAGATTGAACCCAGGGATTCTTAACCACTGAGCCCCATCCCCAGCCCTTTGTGTATTTTTATTTAAAGTCAGGGTATTGCTGAGTTGCTTAGGGCCTTGCAAAGTTACTGAGGTTGGCTTTGAACTCATGATCTTCCTTGCTTCAGCCTCCCAAATCCCCGGGATTACAGGAGTGCACCACCACACCAGGCTTCTTGCTACAACTTCTTCACTGCAATTGTGAATACACAAAATTAGTTTTGTGTATTGTGGGGAAGGGCTGGGGAGGGAGGTCTGAGAAGCAGAGGTATTCAGGAAATAAGGGCTCAGAGGGTTGGCAATATCCTCAAGGCCATGAAGCCAGTGAGCAGTTGGTCAGAAGTCAAGGTGTCTGCTGGTGGGGGTCTGTCTTCCAAGCCACTTGGCCCAGAACCACTGGGCTCTTTCTCTCTGCACTCATTAATGCCTGTCAATATTTATGTGTAGGAACCCTATTTTCATGAGACACTCCAGGAAGACATAAAGGGCTTTTGTGGATGAATCTGTTTGGGAAAAACTATGTCTTTTCCACTTGCTGCTTTCTATACAAACACATGTGAAAGGTCCTGAAAAGTATGCAGAAAAATGCCAGTAAAGTTTGTATAACCCAGTGTTTCCCAAGTCTTCGACTATAGCAATCTCTATTTATTTGTTTATATAACATCTACAGGTGGAATATCTGTTATCTGAAATGTATGGTACCAGAGTGTTTCAGGTTTTGCATTTTTCACATTTTAGAACATTTGCATATACATAATGAGATACTTTGGAGATGGGCCCCAAGTCTAGACACAAAATTCATTTTATGTTTCATATATACCTTATACATGTAGGCTGGAGGTGATTTTATATGACATTTTAAGTAATGTTGTGCATGTCACAGTTTCGTGGTATGAAATTTTCCACATTTGGCATCGTGTCAAAAAAGTTTGCATTTTGGAGCATTTCAGATGTCAGATTTTTGGAATAGAGATGGTCAGCCTGTATTAACATATGGCAAAATATATCTGGGAACAATACCAGCTTTTATTGTTATCTAGATGAACTGAATTGTCTGGGAAAGGATCAGGGAACTTTCTCTGGGTTGTCTAGAATAATGAGGGCTGGAACTAGGATCATTCCCTCCAGCAAGAAGGGCTATGCCCAAAGTCACCTTTTTATTAGGCTGGCATCTGTGCCCACTGTGTTTGTTTGCCCACAGAGAAGGCCAATGTCATGCTCACCCCATGCAGCAGGAAGGACAGCATTGTAGTTCGTCATACCTTTGAGCTAAAGTTCAGCCCAAGTTTGCAGGATGCTGAGAGCATGGGACCTGCTGGGTTGCTGATTATCTGCCTTTGTACCACGGTGTTTGCTGGTGTTCGTCCTGAGCCCAGTAGAAAGCAGACAGTTAGGTGTCCCACCTGGGAGTGCAACCCCACAAATCTAGACTTGTTTTCTCACTGTCAAATGTCTATTGAAATTTTTACCTTTCGAGGACCAGGGACAGCACCTTCCCCACTTGTAACTTTTTTAGCTACCTCCGTGTTGATCCCCTGGTAAATGCCCAGATAATTCTTGTTGGGCTGAGTGGGAGGGAATCAATAACCGTCCATGTTTCACGGTTTGGGGCAGGAAAGGATAAATGGTGATGTTGCAAATCCCTTAATTCATTACCAAAGCCTCTTTCTGCCCCAAGCAGCATAGAAGGACGCCCAGAGGCAGAAAAGAATATCAAGAGCAATGGCACAGAGCTTTCTGAAGCTCTGCATTCCTGGAAGAGTTAGAGCGACTGTCAAAGCCCTCGACGTATCCATTTTTATTAGTTTTTTTGTGGTGATTTGATGTTGTTAGGGATTCAGCTCTCATCTTCGCCTCTGAGATCATCTGAATAACGCCAGGAATAGGGAAGGCAAGAACAGAGATGAGGCATCCACAGGCAGCCCTGGACCCGACCATATAAATCTAGGAGGAGGGTGGGGCAGGAGAGCCTGGGCTTCCCAGTTTGCTGGGCACGAGGCTGAGCCGGGGAAGCAGGAAGCATTGGAGAAGACCGTGTTTTGCCTTCACTCCAGGTGGCCATGACAGGTGCCATGAAAGTGTCAATTATGCTCCTCCTAGTAACTGTGTCCGACTGTGCGGTGATCACTGGGGTAAGTCTCCAGCGTTCTCTCTGCCTGGGTTCCAGGACAGTGTTAGGGTCTGCAGGGGATGTAAGCCCAGGAACCACACAGGTGGCTCCGCCATCCAACACACCGCAAATCAAAGGGACCCCAGAGAGGGATGGTTTGTGATTAGTTGGACCTCACTCTGATAAACAGGGTTGGCTTTTAAGAAGCTGTGTTTAAATAAGATCTTTGTTTTAAATGCATTCGGAGACAATCGAGAATTTTTGAAGTTTTTAGTCTCTGGGAAAAAAATGAAGATTTCTGATGTGTCATTGGGAATTCTTTTATAAAGTGGATTTCATCCCTTAATTTACCTTTTGTGTAAGTTTTGGTTTTCATAGACAGTCTGGTCCGCGTGTCAGTTTTGACGTAGCAGTATGTTGGTTTAATTAAGGGCAGTAATAGCTCACTGGCTGCAATGACATCAGTATCACCCCTGCTGCCTCCACTCGTAAGAAAGAATGTTTTGAAATACCTTTTGCTCTGTGCCCAGTTAGTTCGGAGAGGAATACTGGCGACACCAACATTTGGCTAAAAAAATGGGGGCCCAACAGAGGCCAGTAGAGAAGCACTAGGGAAGAGATACCAGTTCAACTGGCCTCTAGAAATGCAGACTGACAGCGCAGGCTCAGCCCACGGGTGCTGCACACGTCAGTGCTCACGACTCTGTAGGGGTGATGTCCCTCTGAAGGCTGGCTTTCACTTTGCCCCACTCTGGCATGGATGCCGGCAGTGTTAGGCAGCTGGACTATTCTTACTAAAAAAAAGTAACACTGCACCTTTCTTGTCAAAGTCATAAGAAGAAAAGGGGAAAGGAACTTTTATTTCAACCACTTCCACCGTTTTTTGTGGGGTAATGTCGAACCATGTCTGGAATTGGGTTTGTTTTCATGTTTGTAGAGAGGATAATTCCATTCTCCTTTCTAAAGGAAAAAGACTGGTTGGTTCAAAAGAGGCACATATACGAAGGGTCAGCCATTGCTTTGGAGACCCAAAGCAGGCACAGAACGAGCATAAAGCACTGAAGCTTGGTGGAGGTGGGCTGAAGGGAGAAGCCAGGAGGCCCAGCAGTCCTGCGGTCAGGATGGGAGCACCAGGTGGGCCCCGAAACCATGTCAACCTCACTTGGCCAGCTCTGACATCTGGCCCACCCACGGGAAATGCATGACAGCCATGTGAATAGTTAGACAGTAGACCCAGTCGACCTCCATGCTCTGAGTCCCGCTGATGTCCAAGTTCTGCCCTCTCCACATTCCTCTGTTACCTGGATGGCAAATGTCCCCAAGTTCAAGGCTGCATGGTCCTGCTGCCAGAGTGGGACAGCAATGCCCATCCCTGCAGGATAAGAGCCAAGCGGGGGTCTCCTTCCTCCGACTCTCAGCTTTCAGAGCATGGCTAGGTAGGAGGGGTGCCCTTGCTGGGCTGGAGACTGGCAGCCAGGTGACTGCTACCTGTGCCTCCTCTGGGTGGAGGGAGTTGGCAACCTCTTTTCCTCCCGGGGCTGAGAAAGTGGGGAACTTCCAGTTTGGGTTACAGTCCCCATGTGCAGCCTGAGCCCTCCCCAGCCTCTACTGGAAAAGAGCAAATCAAGACACAGCTTCAAATTTCCCATCAGTGAGAGCTCTCAGCTTCTGTGAAGTGGCCAGTTCTGATCTCTGCCTGAGTGTGGAGCTTCTTTGGTTTTCTGATCCTAGCTTATGGGTAAAGTGGGTTTTGTGGCCTTCTTTACAAATGTCACCTTCTGGACCTACAGAAGAGACATACAGCCTATGCTGGGAGCCGAGCCCTGTGGGGTCCATCCCTACTGGGGGGATCCCAGGGGCCCGTAGAGAAGCACTAAGGAGAGATACCAGTTCAATCGGCTTCTAGAGCGAGGGGTACCAATATGTGGAACAGGCATCAAGTAAGGGTGCTGGGTCTGGGCTGGAGCATCTTGGCTGACAGCAGCTTAGCACTGACCACCCAGGGGCCTGGGCCATCAGGGACCCTCCCAGCTTGGAGAATCCTAAATCACTCAATCCTACCAGCATCTGCTGAGCATCTACTGGCTCTAGGAGAGTTATCCCTCCTGACCCACTGGACTTTTCAAAGAGGTCTGCCTCCCCACTGAGAGGTCTCCAAGGAGCTGGGACAGTCCCTCAAACCCAGATCCTGATGGACATGAAGCACCCTGCCCATGAAGGGAGCAGGGGCAATAACCCCAGACCAAGGCATGCTGTTGTGATGGGGCCAGGTGACACACCACCCCTCGGAGGACCGCTGGGCTGCAACCTGGCTTCTCACACAGGTAGTAGTGCTGCCCTCTCTGTTTCTGCAGGCCTGTGAGTGGGATGTCCAATGCGGAGCACGCACTTGCTGTGCCATCAGCCTGTGGCTGCGGGGGCTGCGGATATGTACCCCACTGGGTCAGGAAGGAGAAGCGTGCCACCCCAGCAGCCACAAGGTAGGTGGCCACGCAGCACACGTCTGTGAGTACAGGTGAGCCCTGAGCTGCACAGGCCTGGAGGTCCTGGGGCCTGGCTCTAGCCAAGATCACGGAGGCTAGAGCTTGCGAGTACAGTTCTGCTTCCTCCACAGCTGAGCAGGCTCCTGAATGCCAGAGGGCTGTCTGCTGCCCACCCCCACCAACACCCACCTGACTCAGTGTCCCACAGATGATGTTTGTGCATCTCACAGGGCCTGACATCCTGAGCTAGGATCTTCCAGACAGGCTGGAGAACCACTAAGACAATTTGATTTTATAGCAGCCCTGGGCCAGGGTGAGGAAACAGATCCAGCAAGGTCACGTGACTTGCTCAATGCAGAGTCACCGAGGCAGCTGGGCCTGGAACTGCAGACTTCTGACATCAACTCTAGCTACATGTCATTGATGTTGGGACTGCCTCCTTTGCGGGGACAGCCTGGAGGGCTGGTGGTGTTACCGCTGTTGGCCGGTGACGAGTCCCTGCTTCCCCAATGTTGAAGTATAACACCAGAGAAGCACGCCACCGAGGCAAGGTCAGAGTGGAAAGTAGAGGCTTTATTAAAGGACAGCAGAAAAGAACTCTAGTCCTCCTCCCCCCACCTCCACTTCATTCTCAACATGGCCTCCATTTTGGATCTTACTCCATCTTAGACCCGATTTCCCTAACTACACTGACTACCTCACTTTAAATCTGGCTTCAGGAGGTTGAATAGTGTCTCCTCAAAATTAGACTCTTAGACCTGGAGAGGGGGTTATGGCCATTTCCGGTTCTTTACTTGCTGTGTGATCTTGGGTAAACTAGCATGACTGCTCTTTGCCTCGTGTATACATTAAAGGGAGCCCACTGATTCCCCCTGCAGTCTCTTATCCATCTGAGAAATCTGGATTTTGAAAGGGTCTCAAATGCCCTTTGCTCCCTTGGAAACCTTCCTTAGAAACCTGCCTTCAAGAACGTGAAATCAGCTGGGGGAGGCGGTGCCTCCCCGAGATCTCAGTGCTAAGGCGGGAGGATCACAGTCTCAAGGCAACTTAGAGAAGCCCCCAGTGATTTAGTGAGAATAAAGAACAAAAAGGGCTGGGGCTGCGGCTCAGTGGTAAAGCACCCCTGGGTTAAATCCCTGGTACCAACAAAACAAAACAAACAAACAACAAAGCAACCATGAAATAAGACCCCCCAAAATGATGGCTCCTCTACACAAGGGTTCTAGAGCTGGACCAGCAGGGACCTGGAACACATTTCAAGAAGGCTGTCACTCTTTTGTGCCCTAAGCATCTAGTGGGCACTCTGCTTCCATCCCCTGGCAGCCAGCTCCCAGCCACAGGGTGTAGAGGAGCCCACAGGGCCTTTGCTTCTGCATGGTCAGGGGGTGCAGACAAAACTGGGGGGCGGGGTTAGGGGGCTATGCGGGGTGGGGCCTGACATCCAGTTTCAGGCGTCGGGGTCAGGGGTGAGACTCCTCCAGTAGTGTCCCTCTCAATCTTGGTCTTTTCCCCCCACACCATGAGGAGGTGGGGGGGAAGCTGTGCAGCTCGTCGGCCCCCTTTGCCTTGGAGTGTGTGGGGCTTCAGTACAGATCCGTATTCCCAGCGGGGACTTGAGTGATAATAAAACTAACGCGGAGGGCCTCCTACAAGCCACTCTTCCAGCCACATTGTAGGTGCTATTAGCCCATTTTACAGATAGCAGAGTGGATGTGCAGCAAAGTTAACTAAATTGCCAGTTGTCACCCAGCGGGGAAGTGTCAGACCTGGTGTCTGACACTGAACCTGTGCTGGTGGTTCCTATTCAGTCCCCCTCGGGATTCCTTGGTGATCTGGTGGTCCTCTGGGCATCGAGTCAGAGTGCAGAGACTGTGTGTCCCACACGGCTGCCCCCAGGCACCCACCAGAGTTGAGCGCACAACAGACCTAACACGTAACAGTAGGTGCCCAGTCAACAGAGCTGGGCGTGGGTGCTGCGTCTGAAGGCCAGGCGGCCTGGGTACACATCTAGCTCCTCCGTAGGTGAGCCGAGGTCCCCGCATGCTGCTCGATCACCCTGTACCTCGTTTCCTCAGCTGTAACCACTAGTATTGCTGGGCGAGGCTGTGTGGGAGGTGGGGTGTGGCTGGAGGCCACCCCTGTGGGTGAAGGTGTCCCTCTCTGCTCTCCCCAGGTCCCCTTCTTCCGGAGACGCCAGCACCACACCTGTCCCTGCTCACCCAACCTGCTGTGCTCCAGGTTCCTGGATGGAAGGTACCGCTGCTCCGTGGACTTAAAGAACATCAATTTTTAGGAGCTTGTCCAGGCTCAGATGCCCACCAGGCCTCCTCCCGAGTCCAGCCTGGGGTCACCTCTTCTGGATTGTTATTTCTACCATGCAGCCAGCCCCCCCACCCCATCCCTCAGTCCTATACTGCCCATCTGGATCTTTCCTGCCTGGTATACAAGAGGGCACATGGACCAGCGACCTTCACTATGGCACAGTTGGGCCAGCCTGTGGTTGCTGGCCCTGAGAGGTAGCCAGCCAGCTTCTCTCCCCAGTTCAACCTTCCTGAGAGGCTGTGAGCTGTGGAGAGGACATTGTCCTCCTCCCTGAGCCAGACATTCCCCAGCACAGGCCCCTGGGGGCATTGCGCTTGGCCCTCCGCCCTATCATGTGAGGTCTGGGAGGGCCAACCTGAGGATGGTTCCTTCTCCTCTGTTGGAGTAACTCCTGATTTTTAGACCACAGGCCTAAGGCCAGCTCTTCCCAGAGGGCATAAGGCAGTCACCTGGAGTTGGGTGTGGGACTGCCGGTTAGTCAGGCAAGCCAACTTCCTCATAACTCTAGTCCTGTGACCTTGGGCCAGCAAAGTCTCTAAAGCCCTTCCTAACACTTAGCTCCAGCCCCAGGGTTTCACCATTACAATGAAAATGGTGGGGCCTAATCTCATTTGATGTGGACAATTTAGAAGGGGATTAGGGAGTTTCCTTACACAACCCTTTTCCAAGGATCAGTCCCAGTGAGCAAATCTGCAACCTTGAGGCAGGTCCTCCCTCCCCTGCCTCGTTATGGAGGAGCAGGGCCCTCTGGCTTCCAATAAAAGAAGGATCCAAACCAAGGTGTGTGGCTGTGGTGTTCCTGTTTCTGACGGGGTGTAGACCTGTGTGGGCCCAAGTTGTGGTGGGGGAGGGGCAATGTTTTGGAGCTCAGGATTTTGGGGTCTCTTTGATGAGGGGGTGACAGGCAGCTTGGAGGGCTTGGGCAAGGAGGGCTTAGGTGGGAGACTCTACTGAGGAGACAGCTTAGCAGGGTCTGATTGCAACTCTCATTTTTGAAATTTGGTCCCTTTGCTTTTGTTGACCACTTGACCCCACCAGGTGACCTTGTGCCTGGGACAAGGGAGAAGCTGGAGTTGGCCTCACTTCTGAACCCCAGGATGGGAGCTTCCCCTACATTCAGGTTGCTGGTGCCACTCTTCATCTCCACATTAGCACCTGTCCTAGTAAAACATAAAATACAAACACGTAAAATACCAAAAAAACCGCCCCCCAAAACAAAAACCCAAAACAAAAAAAGCCCCAAACAACAAACAAACCCATAAAATACAAAAAGTCTATCATATCCCACTCTGTTTCTCAGGAGCCCCCTAACACCCTGCCCAGGCTGCCCCTCTTCAGCCCCTCCTGAGAGTAGGCAGTGGCAGACCCATCCACGGGCTGAGCCACCTGTTTCATCTAATTGGACTTATTCTCAATTTTTTTTTTATATTAGAAACTTGACGAATGTATCATGGACTGTGTCCCAGTTTCCTGTTGCTGTTGGTAAAGACAAAGGGCAGATAGGAGCAGAAGGGAGGCTCAGAAAAACATATTTGTGAGTATTTATATTTAGAAATGATGTTCATAAACATGGTTCTAAAAATAACCTACTTATAAGAATAATATGTCCCCAAGACAAATGAATTCTAGAATAAGATCAGGTTCAAGATGCATCATCCGCATCTCCTATTTGGCTGCAGGATGCACCCGGACCTCATATTTGGCTCCAAATCTTTCATCCTCAACTGGTGGTATTTGGCGCCATCTAGTGACAATAGTAGGAACAGCAAGAAGAGCTGATGGGAGGAGAGAGTCCACCTCCTCAGAGCAGATGGGGACCGTAAGTATCCCAGGCATCTCCAAATGTTAGACTCAGCTGGAGGTTTAGAGGGACAGTGTTTTCAGCTGTGGCAAGAAATCTGTGGCCCTAAGGACCACAGAAAAATACCAAGGGCCGCTTGGAGTTCTGTCCCATCGCAGCTACAGCTGCTCTTTCTTGAAGCTGATGTCATCTTTTAGGACATCTCCTCTCACAGCTTCTCCGGCATGAGGGCAGAGTGGAGGTGGGTGAGGACTACCTGCCACCTCCATCTGTGTGTCCCCAGGACGTTTTATGGCTGGGCAGAGCTGCCTCCTGAGGCGGCTCCATGCTCCCGGCCCATCCCCCACCTGTGTTTTTATCCATCTGGGTTAATGCTTTCATCACCTTCCTAGTGACCTGAGGGACCCTGAGGTGGGCCTGTGTCTAGAGCCCTCCCCAGTGAGGAAGGAGGGCGAGTCACACAGAGGAGGGCAGAAGCCACAGTGGAGAATCTGCCCCGGAGTCTGCTGAGATCCTAAGATGCTCCGAGAAGATTGGGGGGAAACTGCGGCTGAAGCCTCCTCCCCCCTGTTCAGTCCGTGTGAGCAGGGACGGTGCCGGCCACCGGACCCCAGCGACTGAGCCAGCAGGAGAGCATGGATGGATGGCCCCGTTTCTCTTACGTGGCCATCCCTGGGCGAGGGATCTGAGCCTCCAGGCTGGAGGAGGCTGGGTCCGGAGATGAGATCCAAGGAGGCCCAGGACCCTCCCGGAGCCAGAGGGAAAGGTCACCTCCAGGAGGCTGCAGGGCTGGAGTTCGGCTTGCTGACACAGGAGACTGTGTTGATCGAGGGTGGCTTTGGGTGGGCCCAGAGGGCAACATTTTGCATTCTTGCCCTTTCGCACTCTTGACAGTGACCATTCCTGGACCCCAGAAACTGCTGTCTAAACATCTGCCTCTCAGATCAGCCCAAGAGGCAACCTGAAGGAGTTGCCTGGAGTGTGCCGCGATACCAGATTCTGCCAGGTGGGGAGGGTGGGTCAAGGCAAGTTCACTGTGGGGGTGTTTTCAGAGATGCTCCTTTCCATCATGAATCAGACAGGAAAGCAACCAACTCTCTCTAAACAAACAGCTCTTCTCCATCCTTGCTGAGTAGATGAGTAAAATAGAGATCCAAACAGTGGAGTCGTATTCATCCTTGAGAAAGGAATGAAGTACCGATTGATACACACTACTTCCTGGTTGATTCCGAAACTTTGTGCTAAATGAAGGAAGCCAGTCATCAGAGACTGTATCTTGCACAGTTCCATCTATGTGAAATACCCGGTGTAGGCAAATCTGTAGAGATAGAAAGTAGATTGGTGGTTGGCAAGGGTGGGGGATAGGTGAGCAGCGCTTGCTGGAAAATGCATGGCTTCCTTTCAAATATCTATTTTTTGGGGGGGAGCAGGGTACCAGGATTGAACCCAGGGACACTCAACCACTCAACCAGCCCTAATTTGTATTTTATTTGGAGGCAGGATCTTACTGAGTTGCTGAGGCTGGCTTTGAACTTGGAAGAGATCCTCCTGCCTCAGCCTCCCAAGTGGCTGGGATTACAGGTATGTGCCACGGTGCCCAGCTCAAATAGGTATTTTAAAAAACGCTCATTTAACACTTACTTTATGGGGGTGAGAAGAATAACTTCACCGAAACCGAAAATGTATACAGTTGGCCCTCAAAACCTGTGGATTCCACTGTGGATCCAAAATACTTTTCAAAAAAATGTATCTGGACTAAACATACATAGTTTTTTTTTCTTGTTATTATTCTGTAAATGATACAGTATCACAACTCTTCACTTAGCATTTACATTGTGTTTAGTATTAAAAGTAGTCTCAGGGGTATTTAAAGTGTGCCGGAGGATGTGGGTAGATTATATGTAAGTGCTGTGACATTTCCTGAAGGGACTTAAGCATCTACAGGTTTTGATATCTTTGGGGATCCTGAAACAATCCCCCAATGGATAGCGAGGGATGATTGTTCCTATTCATGTATGAACCAAATAAGGTATTTTTTAATACACGGTTTTCTACCCTAGATTACTTTTTGAATGGAATATCAGATGTTAGCAATTCAGATAATAAAATCATGTAAATGACCCAAAAAAAAAAATAAGAACCCTCATTAGCAGTACAAAATCAGATACCATGCACTCTTTCCAGTTGGTGACTGCATCTTCAATGAGCTTACGGGACTTTTTTTTTATTCCACTGGGGGGCGCTGCTCACCTAGGTGGGGGCAGAGCAGCCCCTCTGCAGGGTGGCTCATTGCGCAGGGGCAACAGGAGCTAAGTCGTCTTGGGGTTCCCGCCTTTTCAGAATCAAGACTAGACAGCCAATCCTGGGTAGGAATACAGTTGC